GCTTCTGGCGTTGCGACTCCGCGAGGCGGACGAGGACCCCAGCGTGCCCCCGTACGACTCGGTGCAGGTGTATGGCTACGAGGGCCGCGGCTCCTCCTGCGGCTCCCTCAGCTCCCTGGGCTCCGGCAGCGAGGTCGGCGGCACCTTGGGCCCTGCCGAGCCGCTGGACGACTGGGGGCCGCTCTTCCGCACCCTGGCCGAGCTGTATGGGGCCAAGGAGCCCCCGGCCCCTTGAGAGCCGGCCCTGGCCCCGTCCACCACAGGGGGGCAGCCGTACAGGCCCTCTGAGTGAGCCCCACGGGGTCCAGGCAGGCGGCAGCAGCCCAGGGGCCCCTAGGCCTTCCTCATCCCCGTGTCCCTCCGCCCTCCTTGCCCAGAGCACTTTCCCTCGTACCTCCCTCCTCCTGAGTCGGTCTGTATGTCTCTCTCCAGGGATCTCTCTCCCTCTCTCTGGCTCTGTCTGTGACACTCTCCCTCTGATGGCCCCCTCTCTGGGTCTTGGCTTTGTGGCTCTGGCTGAACCTCTCTGTTCTTTTCACTGTGATTTCTCTGTGGCTCCCTGTTTTTGTCTTTCTGATTCTGAATCTCTCTCACACATTCTGTCTCCCTTGCCCACACACATGTTCTGTGTCTGTCTCCTGCCCACATCTTCCCTTGCTCTTCCGGATCCCTGTGACTGGCTTTTTGGTTTTATTCCTTTGTCCATCCCAAAAGCAAGAGAAACTCCCAGCCACTGCTGCCCACCCTCTTGCAGGGGTTGCTCTGCCCCAGGTCAGTGCTCCTAGCCTGTGTGGGGCAAGGGATGGGCCGAAGCCCCTTCCCCCATCCAGGTCTCTAACCCTTTCTCCTCCACTCCTGTCCTTACAGACCTGCCCGCATGGTTCCATCCATCACTCATGGCCTCATCCTGGCTCCACTGGCTTCCAGCAGCAGGAGAGGGAGCCAATCGCCTCCCAGGGGCAGAACTCTAGCCCCCACGTGGCTGCCTCCCTGGAGCTCTGCCCAGCTGTCAGCCTGGGGCATCCCAGCTCTGGGCATTGTCTTGTGTGCTTCCCAGGCCCCAGGGAGGGGAGGGAAGGCAAAAGGGGAGGCAGCTGGGGAAGGGGAAAGAGGGAGGAAGGGGAGGGGCCTCCATCTCTAATTTCATAATAAACAAACACTTTATTTTGTAGAGCTGGAGTCCTCCTTCTGTTTGTCCTCAGGTTTCTGTACAGAGCTTCCTTGTGCTGAAGGATAGGAGGAGAAGACTAAGCCTCTCTTGGATCGTGAGGGGGGAAGAATCCACTTCGCAGCCCTCTAGATAGAAGAGGGTTTGAGTTCATTCCGTAGGGGGAGTAAGGAGAAAAAGGCTCTGCCTCCCCTACCACAACCAACTCTCAGAGTTTCTGTTGATCTCAACTCCATGGAAATTAAGATACAGGAATTGGCTGGAGGGGGCGAGTGAGAAGGAGAAACAGAGATGAGAGTTACTGAAAAGACAGAAGGAAAGATTAACAGGGGTCCAGACTAGAGAGAAATTTGGGGTGATGGGAAAGAGAAGGGTCTAGGGAAAGGCTGGCCAGGGTGAGTCATGTTAAATCTAGGTCCCTTGCTCCCACCATTAATTCTCCCCCAGTCCATGGTCTTGTTCTTAGGAGGGCCCAAAGTTGGAGAGAGAGGGAGCAGGAGAGTGGGTTGTCCAGGGGCAGGAACAGTGGGGGTGGACGCTGAGAGGGAACTGCCAGCTCCCTGAGCAGAGAACGGCTCTACCCAGGAGCCAGAATAAGAACCAGGCCTCTTGACTCCAGCCCTGGAGGTAAGGATAAGGATATTCAGGCCCTGGTGGCAGAGTGCCTGAAGCATCTGACTGTTAAACAGAGGGCTGGTGGTTCAAACCCACCAGCCACTCCTCGAAGGAAGGTTGGGCAGTCTACTTCCATAGTGATACTGCCTCGGAAACCCAAGGAGGGATCACTATGAGTCTGACTTAACGGCAGTGAGTTTGGTCTTTTTGGTTTAAGCATAGGGTGCTGGAGAATGAGGGAAAACTACTTCAATGGGAAGATGCCTTCTCTCACCTCTACACTTGCTTGGTTAGTGTAACCAGGTAATGGGAGAACAGGACCCTTGATCCAGTGTTGGAAATGACATTTCACTCTGCTGAACCTGGGCCTTGGGACCCATGACAGCCCAAGGACCTGTGCAAGAGCAGACTGTCTGTCCTCTGATGGCCTGGGGAGAGATTAGGAGGTGGCACCCTAAGTGGTGCATCAGAGGGGGCAACATCATTCAGTTCAGAGTAGGAAGGGTAAGATCTCCACCTCTTTGGTTTCATCCTGATAGCTACATCAAACCTTCAGGAATAACTGAAGGAAAGGAAGAACTAACCCACAGGCCACTTGTAAGTGGTGCAGGATGCATGGTAGAGAATTCCAGCCTATGTCTGTTTTCCCAGCATCCTTTTGAGGTCCTCTCCTAACTCACTAAAAACTTAGGGGGGAAAAAAGCTAAGGGCATAGGGAAACAGGCCTGTCCGCAAGGCCCTTGAGTTTATCTCTGACCTCAAATATCTCATCATCAGAAAGGACAAGTGTTAAAAGGAGTGAAGAGGGGCAGGAAAGTGAAAGGAAAAGAGGGGGAGAAGGAATAGGAGAAAAAGATGCAAGAAAAGAAAGCAAGAAGAGGGGGCTCCCCTCCTGTCTCCGGCCTTTCTCTCTGGGTTTCATCCTCCTTCCCCACCGTGGGAAGGAGCGGGGTGCACAGTGCCTAGAGGGAGTGAGCTACAGTTCACAGCAGTGCCCTTGGCTGGACTCAGATGGCAACCCCAGGCCTCCCCTCCCTCCCTGCCTTTTCTCTCTCCCTGAGGGCCTCAGACTAGGCTTGGGTGCATGGGGAAGTGATGAATTGGTTGGGGAAGCCCTGCCCCTACCTCCTCTTCAGCCTGGAGTATTTCCCTCCCCTGCCCCCAAAGAAGTGACAAATCCTGGCATTCTCCCCAGAGGGATAAGGGGCTGACCTCCATATTCAGGTGTTGCTCTTTCTTTTCCAATCTGTTCCAATGCCTTTCTCTGACAAAGAACGCATATCCATCACCTGCACACTCACATACACTCAGCAGCAGCCATCTTGCAACCAAGCCTGTACCACTCACGCCTGGACACAGGACCCACACATATCTGTGGATGACAATATGCACCCTCGTATGCCTGAGGAGCTCTGGTAGCGTAGTGCCTAAGTCACTTGACTGCTAACCAGAAGGCTGGCGGTTCAAACCCACCAGCCACTCCTCGGAAGGAAGGTTGGGCAATCCTAGTTCCGTAGTGATACTGCCTCGGAAACCCAAGGAGGGGTCGCTATGAGTCGGGGCTGACTCCACGGCAAATAACAACAACAACAACATGCCTGAGTCAATCCAACACTTAAACCCTGTGGGAAAGTTGCCCTCACTCATTGTTCCTCCAGGACTAAGCTGTTATAGGGGTCCCTAGCCTTAGTAATTACCCCCAGAGCCCCACATCCCCTTTCCTGAGGCTAGGGAGTGGGCAAAGGGCGAAGGGTTGCTGTGGAGGCCACAGGCCAGATTCCACAGCCCTGGCTAGGAGGCTAGTCCTTCAGCCTACCAGCACCCTTTCCCACAACTTCCTTCCAGCTTTACTGTCACTGCTTTCTTTCCTGAGGCTCCCTGGCCTTTCCTCCCTCCTCCCCATGGGACCAGCTCCCGCCTAGAGGAATTCTTAGCTTGAGGTGCAGGGTTAGGGCTCTGTCTGGAGGATGGAGAAGAGGTGTCCAGGAGGAAGGAAATGTTGCTGTTATTCTTGGGACTGAAGTTTAAGGGGTGGAACGAGGAGTAAGAAGATTCAGTAACCTGCTGGGAGTCATGGTCAGACCGGCTCCTAGGTCCAACCATGCTTTCTCTCCCACTTGGCCCAAGAAGGGGGTGTTCATCCTGGAGCTGTCAGCTTGGATCTCTGAGTCACGGTTTATAGAGAGAGGGATGGGGTGAAGAGGGGGCAGGAGAGGATGTGCTAATCCGACAGTTCCCACTGGCACAGCCACCTCCCTCTCCTTCATTCCCCAGAGGCAGTCACAGGAAGAAAAGGCAAAGGGAAGAGAGGAGGAGAAGGAAGAGGGGAAGTCTGGCAGGAGCAGCGAGCAGTGACAGGCATGAAAGGCAAAGAGCAAGAGTGGGGCTGCAGGGAGCCAGGCCCTGGCCAGTATGGCCAGAGAGGCTGGTGGGAGCAGCTTCCCTGCGCTCAACCCTTCAGGCCTTCAGACTCCTCTGGGTTCATCCACCCCTGGCCACCAAGCAGCTAATACCCACCCCAGCCCCACATCTGCAACCCCACCTTACCAAGGTGAGAAGGAGACAAAGACTCTGAAACTAAGAGGACCTAAACAGAAGGGAAGAAGAGAACCTGAGGATGGGATGGAAAAAAGCAGAAGAGAGAATGGCAAGAAAAGAGGGTCTAGCACCTAGCACACTGTCTGGTGTGTAATAGACATGCAGTAAGTATTTACTGAAAAGAAGGACTGGATGCTGGGAGGAATGCTGGACCAATCTATTGGACATCCAGAGAAAGGTGTTGGACAGAGTCATCAATACTCCAGAAGGCAGAAGGGGAGGTAGACTTGGAAGAAATGAAGCTGACAACCCACAAGAGCCTGAGCCAGATGCAGTGATGCTGCATCCAGGAGAGCCCTCCCCGTCAGAGCTATCCTCCCACGCACTCCCTGGGCCTAGGCCCTCCCCCAAGTCCTGCCACTTCTCACAGTCTCTCCGTCTCTGCTGGCATCTTGGAGTCTCCTGATGCTGCCTCCCCCAGCCCACACAGAGAGTTCTCCACCTGGTCCAGCTCTGTGCAGAGTGGCAGGCTCAAGACAGGGCCTTGCTAGCCTCCTCCTCTGCCTTCGGGGGTTCCTGTAGCTCCGCATACAGCACACAAGCGTCAGTGTGAGACACGTACTCCCATCCACTCTCTTGAACATGGAAAAGGTCCACAGAACCCCCTGAATAGGCATCACGATGGGTGGCATGGGCCACGGCACGGCGAGCCAGAGTGTAGGCTTCCTCTGTGGTCATGTCATAGCGGTAACCCTGGTCTAGCACACCATAGGCATAGGGAGATCCAGAGCCCACCGAGAAGATGTTCCCTTGCAAACAAGTGCCGTCGCTGTAGACATAGAAGAGAGCAGGGCCTGAACAGTCCCAACCACACAGGGCAGTGGCCACACACAGATCCAGCCCCCGGTAGCGGGACATCATGGCTGACAAAAGTTTGGCAGCACTAGCCACACTGGGCAGTTGACCCTCCCTCAGTGCCCGTAGCCGTAGCTCCCGCTGAAGCACTCGGTACCATGTGACACAGTCAGCAGAAGTGCCAGAGGTGGTGCCCAGAAGATGCTGGTGCACAGGGATGACTTTGTGTGAGGCTGGACAAGCGACGTAGTTGCCACAGGAGGAGCGTGTGTCAGCTGCAGCGATGACTCCATGACGGAAGCGGAAGGCCAGGGTGGTGGTGCCATGGGCCAGCTTGGGGCCATTGATCTGCGGGAAGGTCTGAGGGTCACAGCCCCATGGCATGGCCCAGCCACTAGCGTGAGGCAGGTGAGGTGATAGTCCTTGGGTGTCAGGGGCCTGCCAGTTGCACACATCCTGCAGAGCCATCTCTGGGGCTGAATGAAGTGTAGAAGGAACAGAACAGGAATTTGTGGGCTGGGGTCAGGTGAGAGAAGAAGGATGCTAGAGAGAAGCTGATCAATGGCCAGACCAGTGAGGAGGGCATGTGATCTGATGCTTCACTTCCCTCTAGCCCCACCTCAGGCTTTGGAACTGGCTGATGAAGCAGCCCCTCCTCTTCAGAGGGCTGCTGAGGGGAGACAGGATGAGGCCAGTAGGTTTTCCAAAGCTAGGAAGACGCTGCCCCATCAATCAGACTTTCACCTTCTGCTGACCATGACGCATCTGAGAGTCACCCAGGGAGTCACCTGTCTGTCATCCTCCAACTATCTGAAGTGGGTAGGGGGGCTGATTGCAAGGAAGAATGAATGGGCACGCATGGAAGAAGGAGAGCTAGGTTCCTCTTGCTTTTCTCGTGTGGGGCATTGAGCATATAAAGACAAAGACCATGTCCTGCCCTGAGAGAGCTCCGAGGCTAGGAGCAGGTAGAGACAACTCAGTGCTCAAATGTCATCAGAACAGAGCGCTGTGGACCCACTGAGGCCAAAGACCTTGATGTTGGGGATTCTCTTCAGGGGTGTGGACCCAGGGAATTCTGAGCCTGAGCTCACAGTTTCAACTCAAGATCAAGATGGTATAAGAGGAATGGACTTAAACAAGGACAAAAGAGAAAAGAGCAAGAGAGCCTTGAATGGGGGAAAGGGAGACAGAGGATCAAAATCCTCCCAGAAAGGCAGTTTACAAGTGGGGAAGGTGAAAGGAAACTAGACCCTGAAACTCTTTCTTCTCTCCTTTGGGGGTGAACCTGTCCTTTTATTTTCATACAAAGATGGTATTCCTGACAGTTCTCTGGCGAGATAGCTTCTCTGACTTGTGTAAAAGTCCTGAAGTTGTAGCTGAAAGGATCCAATGGCCCCCTTTCTCCTGGTTCTCCCATTAGCTCACAATTGAAGACAGCTGTTTGCAGTCCCAGGCCAAAAGACTAACCAGAACACTTAAGATGCCATTGTTGGGGTTAGTGGATCCTAACAAGTGGCCCTTCAGAAAATTAAGGTAGACTGGCACGGAGAGACAGGCTATAACTACTTTTAGCATACCTATAATACACTTTACTAAAAATTTCAGCTCAAGGGAATGCTATGAGAATGGATTTATTGGAAAAAAAAAAAAAACAGAATCACATACAAAAGAAAAAACTTGGACCTTCCAGACAGCATGATGGTGGGGCTATGGCATCATAGTTTCCCGGGGACTCAGTACTAAGGGTGAGTATCAACATGTCATAGGAAGACTTGGGGAAACAAGGAAAGTGTGCTAAGGTTCAAGTAGTCCTTCTCCTTTCTTCTGGGTATGGCCACATGTGAAACTTAGTGAAGAGATAAGTATGTCTCCACTTTCTAAAGACCTTTCTAAAGACTAAATCTTAGACACTTCATATGTGGATAGATTGCTGCTGCCCTCCCAAGTCAAGCTATTGTCAGGTCAGATCTGGACAGCTGAATGTCCTCCTACTTGGCCACCCTCCAGTCTCCCTCTAATCTCTCTTCCACACTGGTTTGCTTTCCTAAAGCAGCACTCAAATCCTGTATTTCCTCCACACAGAAATCTTCAAGGGCTGCAAGATCAAATCCAAACCACCTTTTTTACCCCAGGCTGGCATTTAAGTCCCACGGCAACTAACAACAACAACAACGGTGGTCCAATCCACGTCCACCCTCCCACTTCTTTTCACTCTGTTCCTAACACATCTCCTACCTCTCCATCACCTATTTAAATCCTATCTTTCAGTCTGGCTTAAGTCCCATCTATTCTGAAAAGCCTTCCAAGGTATGGGCTGAGAAAGAAGAGGCTGTGGGTTTGAGAAGTGGTGGGACCCAAGCAGTATTTAAGGAAGTGAATCCAGAACTCCTTGGCAAAGGCTTCCTGAATCCCTACCCTACCTCAACTTATGCAGACTTCCTCTTCCACCTCTGACCTCCAGCACTTATTAATTTTCACCACTCATTTGTGATTAGAGATCTTGGATCAGAAAACTAGTATAAGGTAAATTGGTGACCCAGAAAATTGGCTAGGAGAATATTTCAGTAATTCAGGAGTGAGGAGATAAGAAATTGAAGGTGGTGTTAGTTGCAATGAAGAAGAATGTGAGAAATGCTGTGGAGGAAGAATTAACAGGACTTGGCAACTTACTGGATACAGGCAAAAGGAAGGAAAGTTGTCAGTGATGGCCAGGGTCTCAAGCCTCTCTGGAGGGAGAACATTGTTATTATTATTATTTTTTATTTATTTATTCATTGGTAAGCATGCACTAAGGAAAGAATGGGGCACAGAGATGAGTAGTAAAAAGTTTACAATCCCTGAGTTGTCAGTGAAGGCAAACATGGGTATATGGACGGATAGATAGGTGGACAGGCTAAACAATTAGGTATGTCTAAATGGGGAGTGTATCCAAGATCATATATAGGGTTGGCAGACAATGGGCCTATAAGTTTATGAGAGTGATCAGAATTCCCAGGTGTATAGTAGAGCTGACAAGGGGCAAGGTTATGGTCATTGCTTGGTCACAGCCAGCTACCCAGAGGGACCGAGTAGTTGATCCTGCGGGCTTGGGACCATAGTCGCAGGGGACATCAAGCTCAATTGGCATAACATACTATATAAAACATTGTTCCACCTACTACTTTGGCGAGTAGCAACTGGGATCTTAAAAGCTAGCAAGCTGCCATCTAGATGCAACAATGGGTGTCTCCTCGTCAAGAAGAAAGGAGAAAACCAAATGAATGGAAACAATCAGTCCTAGCGACTGGTACACCATCTGATCTGCAACCTATACAACTATGAGACCAGAAGAACTAGATGGTGCCCGGCTACCACTGTCATCCGCTTGAAAGGGATGTACGAGATCCTGCATAGAGAGGGAGAACAATGTGGAACAAAAGTCAAAATCATTTGGAGGCAAAAAAAAAAAAGAAGGTGGGGACCAGGTTTGCTGGTCCAATAGAGCCTGGTGAAACCACTGAGACTATGGCCCCTAGCTGCCCTTCAGGTCTGGGATTGAACCCACACCTGTGGTTTCCAGCCAAACAAAGAACAAGCAAGTGAGTTAAACATTTACCTCAAGTAGACACACACCCTGGAGAGAACAATCATGGGAGAAGGAAAGGCTGCTTATGCACAGGGAGACAGCTCAGGGCACAGAAGCGTATGGAGGGATGGACACTGGGAAGAGGTAACTATGGGGAGGAAGTGGGAGGGGAGCTGTTGCATTGTAAATTTTGGTCAATGACATGAGACAAAGTATATGTGAACTGCTGTATGAAAAGTGAATTTACTCTGTAAATCTTCACCCAAATCAAAATAAAATTAAAAAAAAAAAAGTTTACAATCCAATTGTGTGCTTTGGAGTCAATGCTGACTCATAGTGACTACAAAGGACTGAGATTAACTGCTCGACAGGATTTCCTAGGCTGGGACCTTCACAGGAGCATGTTGCCAGGGCTGTTCTCTCACTGAAGGGTAAATTTAAAGCATTGACCTCCGGTCAGCATTCACATTTATAATCAGGTAAAATGTGACATGTCCCTTAAGAGAGATACAAATGCTATTGATGGCAAGGTGAAAGCACCACTGAGAGAAGTCTTAAGGAAGAGTGGTTGGATTGTCGGGGTGATTGCAGAATAATAACCATAAATCGATTTTTTTTTTTTCTCCCATCGAGTCAATTCTGACTCATGGAAAACTTGTGTGTTTGTGAGTAGAACTGTGTCCATAGGGTTTTCAGTGGCTGATTTTTCAGAAGTAGATCTCCAGGCCTTTCTTCTGAGCCTCCTCTGGGCAGACTTAAAAAGTCAACCTATCAGTTAGCAGCCAAGCATGTTAACTTGCAGTATTGTGAATCACTTTTATATGGACTTTCTTGACATAGTCTTGTGACTCCTAGAAAATGATTAGGTGGGACTATGCAAATAAGGTGTTTGTGGACCAAGGGGATTGGACAGCTTTCTAATAATGCGAATAAGGTGCATGGCACCCTTGTGGGGGTGGGACCATGCAAATAAGGTGTATGGAACCCTAAGTAGAGGATTTGTCAGTTTGCTGTCTTGCTAGGCTCCAAATGAACCATCCCAGAGGCAGAAAGGAGGCACTACACTATCACCAAGAAGAATAGACAGGAGCAGAATATGTGCTTTGGACTTGGGATCCCTGAGTTGAAAACCTCCTAAGATGAGACAGAAAGAGAGAGCTCTAACACCAGAGACAAGAGACAGTGAGAAGGAGTGGTAGAGCAAAGGCAGCAGCACCAGCAGCAGAATCAGGCGACCAGCATCAGACAGTACAGTGGGCTTCCTGCCCCACATATCATGGTGGTTACAGTAGACTTGCCAACTCATGGAGTAATACAGTTGAGTGCCTTTGGGCATAGTATTCTTAGCAGAGTGGGGTGCCTCTGGACACTTATTGGGGAGCTAAACAACTTTGTAATACTTTCCCAAGCAGGGGAGAGGCCAACCTGAGGGGTCCAGGGGCTGAGAGAGAGGGAGGAGCTGTCCTGACCAAAGAACTGTATCCTGAGTTGTTCCTGATCCTGAATTGTAACTTGTTACTTCCCTAATAAAACCCATAACTGTAAGTATGGCCTGTGAGTTCTGTGTGGCCATTGCAATGAATTATCTAACCCAGCAGAGAAGTAGAGAGTGCTGTGGGAGGAATGGTTGGTGTCAGAATTGGTAAAAGGGTCGAATGGTGGAGGTTACATACTATTTGCACCACCCAGGGGCTCCTGCAGAATACTACATGCTCAATAAACAGAAGCACTCCACATTTCCCATATCATCCAAGTGTAAGACACAGATAAAGACCTTCTGCTTCATTACATTCTGATCTTTGGTTTTGGAAAGCGTTGCCAAATTTTAGTATTAAAAATACAACATGTGTAGAGTCGCTGGGGGAGAGGAGGGGCTGGACATCAGAGGAAAGTGGAACTTTAG